AAATCGAGTCAATGGCTTCGCGACTGATAAAATGCTTTGACAATTGCCGCCACTGATTAATCCCTGGCCCTTAAAATTTATTTAAAAAAAAAAACAGACGGCATATAGCGAGGGGTTGAAAATGACCAAGCGCTTTTATCATATACTCAGTTAACTCTCATTTTTCCATGCACTAAGCATATAGTGATCGCGTCAACCCACTCACTCAGTCAAGCGCGCTCAGCATCGCATCAGCGCACTGCGATCAATAGCTCTGCAGCTATCCGCCAACGCAAAGCTCATTAGACACCAAGCGAATTGCATAGCGCGGCAAAGCGTTGATCTTCATTATGATGTTGTAGGCACAGCGAAAATTTAACGGTGGGCACGGCAGCTACTAGCTTCCGGCTAAATCGGCAGCTTGGATTGCTCGAGATGTTGCCGCGCACTGGCAGTCGCAGTTCGTCGATCATCGCAAACAGTTGGAAATAACGGAAAACGCAGTGATAAGTGAAAAATCTAACGGTGCAATGTGTGCAATTCATAATTAAGGAAATTGCAGAAAAACTCACACAAAGTGCAATTCCAAGTGCAAGTATAAAAAACGTATATGTATGTACATACATATATACATATTCCTAAGATCGCCGTCGTCGTCGTCGTCGTCATCAACGTCACTTGGCATTTGGTTGTCTATGCTGTCTGTGCCAACAGTGACCGCGGCATTTGTAAATCACAAAATCGCGAGTAATTTAAACTCAATTGACCCGTTTCATGAATTTATCGCGCCTATTCTGCGCTTTTTGTGTGCGCGCGTGTGTGTGCACTACCGTTTACTTTGCGTGCAATAAATAAATTTTGTATGCAAAATTTAAATGAAATAAAGACAGAAAAATTCTTAGCGAACGTTTGTGCACAAAAATTTCAAAATTAAGCGATAAACAAAAATAAAAACGATTTCTATCCGACAAATTTCTATGGCAATGCAAACAATATTTAAAATACATAAATATTTCTACGATTGAATTTTCTGCAATGGAATATTGGTGATACTTTTTTATGTTACAAAAAAAGCAGCTTCGATTATAAAATCTGTGCAATTTGGTATGCACTTACATACATACTTATTTTTATCTGCCATTTAAAAAATTTTGTGTAAAAAATCCTTGTTTAATTTCAAATTACTTATTTTACTTAGTGCTTTTTCACTTATACTCAAAAAAAAAAAAAAAACAATCGCGCTGTTTAGTAACCACAAACGAAAAATATCAAATAAATCGAATTTTAATCGAGCAAATATAGAAATATGCATCATAGCACGCAAATAATTGGACTATGTTATAGAATATTTATTTAAATAATCCATGTGGAATGAGATTTCAGAATGATTTGTCATTTTCACATGAGCGAGATATTTCTCTGTGCATTTTCAATTTATACATACGCACATGTATGTATGTACATATGGATTTGTGTACGGCATTAAAGCTGCAAATTAGGGGCTATTTTCATTTAAAATTGTTAGACAAATGAAATAAACTAAGTACAAAAAAAAAATAATTGGTTGTCGAATTTAATGCATACGTGTATAACGAACAGCAATACATATAGCGTTAAATAAACTCACTTAATTAAGCAGATATGCACTTTAGTAACGATTATTTGGAATCGTCTTTATACCACAATTTCGCTCCAGGGGCTCACGCACACAAATAATTTATGCTGTTAAGTCTGAGGAGGCCTTTGTCTACAAAACATTGCTGAGTAGATATAAATAGATGAAAAGTTAGCGCACTCACAAGTTAAGTAAATAGAAAGTACCAATTTTTCTCTGATATGCGACTCAGATAAATAAAATAGTTTTAACATTTCGGTTCAAGTATACAAACCGAGTACAAACACTGCCTCAAAAGGCCCCCATGTCCGTATAAAACTCTGCTTACTTATGTCCAGCGGCGAATCCACGAGGGAGTTTTGTGCAAAAATAGAATTATGCACAGCTTTAAATGAAAATTTGTTTCTTAGTTAACTTGAAAACGCTGAATTCAATAATGTAACTGATGTTCTCGACACCAGTTTTCCAAGCGCACCCAATTTTTTTGTTAACCACAGGACGGTTTAAAAGCTACACAACAGAAGAAGATTTTCGTTTTCGTATGATTTATTTAATTCTAAAGTCGTGGGTGTCAGAAAAAAGTTTACATATTTCGCAAAAAAGGTGTGAAGAATAAAAATATTCCTGAAACTTTAAAATTAATTTAAGAGTCCAGTAACATAATCAATATAATACAAATGCATGTAAAAAAAACCAGTAACCGGTACAATTTTTATTATAAAAATCGTTCTTTAACAATTATTATTTGTTTTCTTTTATTTAATTACTGCTTAAATTTTATAAATAAAAAAGAAAACAATTATTTTGGATTTTTATCTAAACAATTTGCAAATAACAGTTATTTTTGATTTTTATATTATACGTATTTCTTAGATAAGCGTTATTGAAGACTTTTATTTATAAAAGTCATCAATAAAAATCAGTCAGTGACTTTTATTTTTTAAGTCATGCTTATAAAAACCATTTGTATAAATCATATTAAAGCAAATTTCATGAAAAGAGCCATCCAAAATTCGTAGAGTTTTGCGATTTTGTAAGAAAAGAAAAAATCAACTTCCATTTTTGTCTCTTTTTAATTGCGTATATTTAAAGACCATGCGGTTTAACTGTTTTAATTTTTCAGTTAAATATAGGGCTGATCATATGCTACACAAGGGTTTAAAAAAATTAAAACGTACGACTGTCACGTATGTGACGTATGAAAATACCCATATAATATAAAAATCAAAAATAACTGTTATTTGCAGATTATTTAGATAAAAAAATACATAAAAATCAGAAATAATTGTTATTTTCTTTAACTTTGCTTAAAAATTGCAGAAAAAGGTTTATTTTCAAATTTGATTCTCGGTGAAAAAAAATCGATTTGTATGTAACACTTAGTTGTACAACATTTTCTTCGTAGTGAATTTTTCAATGACAGTTTTCATCAATAAATGTTATGTTCGGTACCTGACAAAAACAAATGACTCAGTGGCAATATTGTATTTATTTACATATTGTAATAAAATAACAAATACGATGTCGAAAAACTTTGGGCTGACATAAATATTTTGATACTTCATATACATTTTTAAATTTTTGCATAATGCAGGTTCCATGGGAAACTGAAGCTCAGTGCAAAAATTATTTTCTTTATAAACAAACGTGTGGATAAGACATTTGTAAAAACTTGAAAATCTTGAATCAACCAAAAAATAACAAGTCAAAGCTTTATATGCATTATTTTTGTCGTAGGAGGCGAATATGCTTTATGCACTGGCCGGGGCGCTAGTCTCTATACTACCTTTCCAGAGTGTGGGACTCCCACCGAAGCGTGTTGGGCTAGCCACTAAAACCCAAACTCCCACCGCCCGCGCAAGAATCCCGCATCTGACACCGCAATTCTGTATGTCTTCATATGCAGGAGCGCGCTACTAGAGCCTCAAGGCTGCTCTTTTGTAGGGGCGTTTCATTCGGGTGCCCTCAGTAGACATCCGTCTTCTCGTTTGCAGCGGAGCACGAAGTTCACGTATCTCTCAACTGCTTCCCACTTGTCTGCACTGGAGATTATTACCCCAGTTACGTTGTTCGGGGTGATGTCTCCGTATCTTTCTTCCAACATTCTGCGCGAAGTCAAGACGTGCGTCCACCCTGCCCATTCTGTGAAGATATTCTCGGAAGTAACCATGACCGGTGAGGAATTGCGCCAGGTATAAACCGACTTCCCCGTGCGGTCTTTTCAACCATGTCCATCGACCTTTTGTGCTCGTATTCCAGTCCTATCTCGGCACTAAGATTGTAAATCTCTTTCCGCTCGTAAGCAAGTAGCTCAATTGACATGACGCCAGAAATAACTATAACCGCGTCCGCGGACACTGTACGGTGTGCAGAAGCAATGTATAGTGCCCTCTGCGCTGGATCGAAGACATTTAAATCCGGTATTCTTTGCCCGTACAGGAGCACCGACTGGACTGATATCATCAAAAGTTTTCTACGGCATGGCTTTGGGTCGCCCACGCTCGCCATCAACCGGCTTAGAGCCACCGTGCTCTGCGCAGGTTTTTCACATACTCCATGAATGTGTTCCCACAATGTGAGTTTGTTGTCAAGCTTCACCCCTAGGTATTTTGTAGACCTATAAGTTGTCACGGGCTGACGTCCGACCATCATGTTTATAATTGTTGGGATCCGTTTCTTGGTGAGGAGCGCGATCTTCGTTTTGGCTGTAGCCAATTGCACACCGTGATCGCTCCTCCATCCACTGTCGCTGCGCATTGCCTGGTTCAACTTAAGCTGCGCCAGCTGGATGCTATATCTATACTTCCAAAAATCTCACTTTAATATTTCTATACAAAGGGTCTTTGAAACTATTACCTATAATACATTTTTATATAAAATTTGTTTTAATAATACGATTGAGAACGATTGTCTCAGCTGGCTTTGGATGATCCAATATCGCAGCTTTTCCAGACTACCGGCATATTTAAGTTCATTCCATTTTGATGGTAGAATCGGCCAATACAGTCATAAAGGCACCAAATATTTTCCGAGAAGGAAATAGAAAGCGATGTAATGTGGAACGATTTTCCGTCATCCCTTGTCAAATTTGGGATGAAGGAAAATCGTTCCACATTACATCACACTCCTACCCTGTCGGAAACACCAACAACGAAAATGAGAAATAGAAAGCCTTCGAATATATCCACCCCCTTCAGCATACCCGCTTATCTGCCGTCCCTAAATATGAGCGCTAAGCGTTGCGTTTTCCAATGCCAACGAGTGCTAGCGAGCGCTATACCCAAATCAACGCGGAGTAATTTTTGACGTTTTCTCATTACCTCTCCTTTCCTCTTTCACTTGCTTGTCATCTCTCTTTTTTCCGTATGTCCGCACTGTCAAAAATTAAAATTCCATTTGCACAGCGCTAGCGCCGCGTTGTTGTGGGATACTTCATACAAATTGTATGGGCATTAGGATTTTTGATAGTTCCTTGACGATTGGTGCGCCAATTTAGGGATGGCTGTAAGTTTAACGTTGGGTCTTTGTGAGAGTCATTAACTTCATAAATTACCATTTCCCGTAAGTTTATTGACCTTCCGTAACCCATGTGTGTTTTTCCGACAGCCTAATTTTGGCAGCTCACCCTCTGCTCTTAACTCGCGTTCCTGGTTGTATATGGCTTTATAGCAAGGAAGGGATTTCCTAAGAATTGATTTATGCAAAACAATCAAGCCAGTGTGCGTTGTTGACTTTGGTGGCTCCCTGTTGGAATATCATTTATTTTATAAAAATATTTCGATTGTATTATTTTTATAAACTACCTTTAAAAAGATACCAAACACGTCCGCATTGCAGACGACCAAATTTCCGATTCTACTATTTTGGAAAAAATTGGACAAATTCAAATATCTGGAGAAAGCGAAGGGACAGCGAAATAGATGTAGCGGCATTTTAAAAACTTTGAGGTGGAGAATTCAGGAAAAATAGTCTCGTGGTGTGAAAGAATTACATTGACTTTCAACATGACCTCCAAATATACTTAAAGGTCTCATTGAATGAAGTAAATATTACTCTTAACTTAAATCCGGTTTTCGAAAGGAACATTTTTGTTTTTTGCTTTGTTTTGTTTTCTATTTTTAACCTAAAAACAGGATGCCAGGAGCTTTGGAAAAAAAAAGTTAAATTGAAGTGATTGATTATGGATATGGATTCCTTTCTGCAAGAACTGCAAAAATGTTTGTTTAAGACTTTTAAAAAGTTGATTGGATACTGGTTCCAGGTCACAAAAAGAAAACATTCTCTATTTGAACGTCATTTAAGAGTCAAGGTTATTCTTTTATCCAACGAGGCTATTTTTCCTGAATTCCCCATTAAACAATTTTTAAAATACCGTTACAGCTACATATTTCGCTATCTCTTCTCGTTCTCGAGATATATATTTGATTTTGTCAATTTTTTTCCAGAATAGACACTGTGCGCCGCCTAGCCTTGTTCTCAAAATTAAATTTATTATTTTTTAAGGACTGTAGTAGCCAATGATAACTGTCCTTATTGGGTTTCCTAGCGTTTCCACTGAGTCTGCTCTTTTTTTATTAGTGTCAGTACATATGAACATACCCACAAAAACATACATAATTTATTAACACAGATGGTATGAGTGAACATTTAAAAAGTGTACTTTGTTTGCAAAGAAAAAATTATATTTAAGAACTTGCTTAGTTAAATTTAATAGCAAAATAGCAACAAAGGCCCAACTAATCCAATCAAATATTAGATAAATGCGAAAAGTGAAATAATAATAGATACTGTGTGCACTTCCACCCACACAACAATACATAACTAAAACGACTAAAAACAATACACAACGCTTTGAAATTCTTCAGCAAAATTTTTACTTAAATAATAAAAGGCGAGAAATGCCAAAGTAAATAATTCAATTACAAAAGTGCAATAAGGCGAAAAATCATTAACATTAGTTGAAATTGCTGCCACAGTCGTCGCAGCAATTGCCTCGCTGCCACTGCCCCACCTCCCTTCACCAACGCCTTTGCCTATGCTTCTGCTTCTGCTGTTGCCTTTTCGCTGTTAGCCTCCCACCTCATTCATTTGCCGCCCATCGCAAAAACATCAATGAAGGAGCGCATTCGCGTGGCATTAAGCAAATAAGTGCAAAACCATGATAAATAACAGAAGCGAAGCAACAATGATAGCGAAAGCAAATGAAACAAGTATGAAATCCGTAACAGGCGAAACATCAACAGTAGCAGCAGCAGCAGCAGCAGCAGCAGCAAAAACCACAACAATGTCAACGGCTTCAGCAAGTGAAACAGACGCTACGATAATGAATTGTTGGTTATGCAATAATAGCAACGACGTCGTGCAAAATGCCAAGCCAAGTCATGTCAGCAACAACAAATACCACACAAACAATAATCACAGTAACGACAACAAGCCGGTGGTGGTGGTCACCACCGCTGCACTACGTCCCGCTATGATGGCACTCGCATTTACGTTGCTTTTCTTGATTAACATATCCTGTGCGGCATGCACGCGCGATCGTCTGCACAAGCAGACACATCTGGAGGCGAAGGTCGGCTCGCATGTGGTGTTCAATTGTCTCATTGACTTTCCGTACGATGTGCCCATTGAGTATTGGGTCAACTGGAGCAAGGATGTAAGTACATACATACATACATACATACACATATATTATTTAAAGGTATGTATAAAAATATTATTAAATAATTTGCATTGATTTTCCGATGGATTTTGTGTAAATTGTGGCTGAGTATGATGGGTTTTAAAAGTGAAAAACAGAGTTCGAGTCGGAAAGTATTCTTGCAATCGAAGTGGTGTAACTGGGAAGAAAGATGTCCATTTGAAGTTTTTAATAACAAAATTTTCTTTGATTCAGCGTTAATTTTGATGTTCAATTGTGTCATTGAAATTTTTGTCAATCAGTGCCTGGTTGAAATCCAGCATTTTTATTCCAGAGAATTGCTTCAATAAATTACCCGATTCGATGACGTATAGGGGAATAAGCAGACATATTTTGTGATTACCCCATTTTCGACCGTAGCCTAGTTAGGTAGATGCTCAATTGAAAAGTCTTCTATTTGATTTTTTTTTTTATTTTTATTTTATTTAATTTAGCTGATATTAAGACGAAATTTTGTATCATCTAGTAGAGCCTGAGTGAGTGACTCGGCCTTAGCTAGGCTTAGAGATGTCGGAAAAATATCGATGTTTTGCTTCGATGCATCAAAAATGTTCCACTCGATGTATAAATAGTCGATGTATCGATGCATCGATGTTTTTTGAAAACTGACATCTCTAGTATATTCAGCCGTCATTGCAGTTTTTTAGTTGTACAAAAAAAAAAAAATAAGTGACTTTTACCAAAAAATTGAAATGTCTCCAAAAAGTTCCGTTAGAAAAATAATTAGCTCAGTTGTAGTAATTTATTTAAAATTTTTTACAATTGTGCTAATAACATACATATTTTGTTGCGAAACATTATCCTATGCAAATCGTCGAAACGATGTATGCGCTTCGATGCATCGAATCAAAGAAAAACGTCGATGCATTTTTGCCACTGACATCTCTAGCTGGGCTTAGCTCTACACCGCGCTTCTTCGATGATATAGCCAGTGAATTGAGAGCGGTTGCCATTCGCCACTTACAATTACCATGTGTCCATCTGCTGGCGAGCAATTGTTAGATGAGTCCAACCAGCCAACCATCAATGCAGAGGCTGTCATGTCTGAGTTAATTGAACTTGTCAGAATGGTGTTGAAAGTTAAAAAAAATGTAAGTGCACCCGGGCAACACTGGAGAAGTGAAACTTACGTTACATATCTATTCCCTGCAAAAAATTTGTGAGACTCGACTCGTCCCTTACGGGTATAATTGTAGATCAATTAGTCCCCGACTCATATCTAACGGGTACTATTAATAATTTAATGATATGTGCGCACTTAATCAATGAAATTTTATGTCCGCCGTTGGCACAGAGAGAGAGTATTCGCTTAACAAAACTGTGAACTGTGAAATCGATAACAGTATCGATAAAAATATCGATAACAACTTCGATAAAAACATCGATAATAAAATCTGCAACAATATCGATAACAAACCTAATAAGAATATCGATAACAAAATCGATAAAAATATCGATAATAAAATGGATAAAAATATCGATTATTATATCGATAGGTTCCGAAGATATCGACAGCAAAATCGATAAAAATATCGATAACAAAAGCGATAAAAATATCGATTTTTATACCGATAAGTCCTGAGAATCCCGAAAATCTCTAAGATCCCAAAAAAGTTCACATATTGAGTCTCTGTGTCTCCATTTATGTACTTTTCTCTATAATTATCTTTATTTTATTCTTTCTTCCTCTATCTTCATCTTTACATTTATCGGTATCCTCATCCTCATCTTTTTCTTTATATTAATTTTTGTTTTTACTTTTGTGTTAATACTTTTCTCCATCTACATATTCCCCTTCACTTAAATAAAGTGTTTAAATTTACATTGATCTTAATTTTTGCCTTTATCTTTACGCTTCTTTGTTTTTGTTTTTATTTTTGCCTTTGCCTTTATCTTTTTCTTTATCTATCTACGTACTACGCTTTACTTTCGTTCTTGTATTGGTCTTTTTCTAATTGTTATTCTTTAACCTTTTATTAGCAAGTTTTTGTTAAAGTCCTACAATGTGCATTCACTCAAGAAGCACCTGTTTCAGCCCCAACCATTTCCGTTGCATCATTTTCGTTGAATTTGCCAATTTACTCCCAACCAACCAACCGCCGCTAAAGAAGTTTCACATCAAAAAGTTCGAAGTATAGTCAGATTAGTAGTATTTTCTTCCACTTCATTCTGGCAGCGTATAAAGTGGGTTACTTTCTTCGAACTGCAACCATAATGATCCTTGTCAAATGTTTAGAAGCTAACGCGGAAGCTTAGTTCTCTAACAAAGGCATCACATCTTTTCAAACGAATCGAGCTGCAGTTTTCTAATGAAATGCATTGATAGCATTGCGTATATTCTGTCATGTCAATCTGATTAAGTCTTATAAGCTGAATATATGTATGTATGTATATCCAATTCCTAGAACTTGTATGTATAAGAATTTTGAAAATTTAAATGCATCTCACGGCATTTTGTTTTTATAGAATTTCAAGAATTTCAATAGTGTTTACTCGATCAGCGCTGTGAATATCAATTAATGAGGAGCATTTCATTAAAACAGTATTAAATCGAAAATTATTTGTTTACAAACAGCTATTAATCGACTTGTCCTATCTATAAGCGTATACGTGTATGAAATATGCACAAACTAAATGTGTTTGTTAAATACGTAAATATAAGTACACCCATAGCTGTCACTGCGTTAGGTGGCTCACGTCATCACAAACTAAATGAAGCGATTCTCATTAATTTATGCCAATAAATAAGTACATAAAATAGTAATTTAAAGAAATGAAATGCAAACAATGTGCCACATCAAATTCTGACAGATGTTGATGGCTTGTTATCCAACATACATAAAAGTGCATACATACGTGCATACATAACTTTGTACATAGTTTGTATATGCAAAATTGTGCATCTCATTTCTTCATAGGCATGTGTGTGGCATGTACATTAGACTGTACCACCTAACAAGCGTTCAAAAAAAAAAGTTCGCCGTGCACCCCTTAGTTTAAAGCAGGAACCGGAAATAACAGTTATTTTTTTTTAGGTCCGGATCAAAATATTGTCGTAGAGTAAAGTTATCAATGTTCCTTTGATCACAGAACCTCCTGGAATCCTGGATTATTTTTAGTTTTCGAACTTATTGGGAAAAAGTCCAATAATAACTGAAAATTTCGAACTATAATTTTTTTAATCCAGTAATAACTGTTAAACTTTACTAAATATTTTTTAAGTCCGCAATAAAAGTCCTTTCGCAATAATAAACAAACCGCTTAACCAAATTAAACAAATTTGATATGAAATGAAAGAGTACTTAAATAGCTTTCAAACAGAATATCTAAACCAAGGTTGCCACCTATTTATATATTTTTTTATAATTTAATAAAATTCATTAGGCCATCTAATCCCATCCAGCCGTTTCCGACTGAATCACCATATACCGCTCAAAAGAAGTTCTAACTTCCAAATATAAGACCTCTACAGAACCAGTTTTTTAATTTGATATCCCATTTTCGAAATGCGAAATAACAATGCGGTTCAGACGACCTTAAAAATTTGCCTTCTCGTATTATATCTGTGTTCGTATGGAAAAGTAGCTTATGTCGAAAGGCCGGCTTTAGTATAATGCGGCATTCCCTTTATTCTTTAAACGACAAGGAATTTTTTGATGAGACTTAAAAAGAATATTGCCTTGCTAGTATCGGAACTATTTCTTGCACGTTTATTTGCTAAAACGGCTTAGCGCCCGTAAGTCATTCGCAATCGTATGCTGCGAATGCCGATTTATACTAAAGCCAGCCTTTCGACATAAGCTACTTTTCCATACGAACACAGATATATATATATCTCTATATGAACATGTACTACATGCTTACATACATAGTTATACTCTTCGAATTAGTGGCAACACTTATATTTCACTTAACTTCTGTATAAGCTAAACAAATTCAAATTTGAAGTAACAAACCCTCTTCAAAGATAATTTGAAATGAATTTTTTTTAAGTCTCTTTTGTTTGACATTGTGACACATATTACAATTAATTGATAAATTAAGTTGCATTTGATTTTTTAAACACGTGGCAACTCTCTTCTATACAGTTCCGAAATTAATCGGTATTAAACTCAGTTCTATGAATACCCATCTTCTAATTATTAATTTCACTCGTTAAATAATTAGAATTAAAATTTTTAAATAGAAAGCCTCAAAAAAATTCTAAACGTTCAACCTAAACTAAGATTTATAACACCCTTTATTTTGAAAACCATATTTTAATATTTCATATGACTTGTGTATAAGATAAATAAATTCGATTTTCAATCAGGTGGCAACTCTATTTAAAGGTATTTTCAAACTAAAATATTTTTCAATCTTTTTTAACTGATGAAATAAATTGAATTTAATTTTTTAAACACGTGGTAAATCTCCTAAATACATACCCACCTTTTAATAATTCGTTTAACTTATTCAAAAGTTTTAATTAAATATTTTTAAAGGTGGCTAAACTCTTTAAAGATTTTCAAGACCAAACTTAAGATTCCTTGAAAATGTCTCATTTGTTACCCATATTTTAATCTTTCATATAACTTGCGTATAAGTTAAAAAATTGGACTTTTGAAAAGGTTGCAACGCTCTTCAAAATATTTTCAAGTACTACGTTCTTACGTCTGTCACCCATATGGTGGTAAATATTTCAATTACCTTAGTTAAAATTGAATTTGAGTTTTTTAAACAGTTGGAGTTGTACTTAAGAAATAAAGCATTTTCAAACCCATTTTGGTTGATAGCTATATTGCAATAACTCATTTAACTTTTTAAATAATTTGAATCTTATTTTTGAAAGGGTGGGAACTTTTTTCGGAAAACTAAACCCTCACGGCACATCTACAGCCCAAGACCTTTAATCTTACACCTCATTTTTCAAAATCGAACGAACGGTGCGGATCAAATGGCAATGATTACTAAAT